GGATGCTGCTTCAATCATTACTGCAAAATTATAATTAAAGCAAATTGATTATTTTTAAAATAATAACTTTATATTCACTTAATTACACAAATTAAAATATGAAAAAATTAATCTTATTTATTTTACCCTTTTGGTTGTTTGCACAAAATGGAATAAAAGTAGAATATGAAGTAAAACAAGAATTTGATAAAAGTAAGTTAAAAAAACTAAGTGCTAAATCACTTGAAATTTTACAAAATTCTGAAAGTAAACGTTATTATTATGAACTATTTGTAAATAAAGATAATTCTAATTTCGTAAAAATAGAACGAATTAATAATGAACAGGTAAAAGGAGCTGCAATTAGTTCGGTTAGTATTACAGGAACTAATATTTATAAAGATTTTGTTACAAACGAATTGTACGAGCAAAATGATATGAAGCCTAAATTATTTGTAAAAGATTCTATACAACATTTTCCTTGGGTATTGTCAAAAGAAGAATCGACTATATTAGGTTATAAAGTTAGAAAAGCAACTTATACTAATCCAACACAAACTGTAGAAGCATGGTATAGTACAGAGCTTCCTTTTAGTGATGGTCCATCTCGTTTTAATGGATTACCAGGATTAATTTTACAAGTTAGTTTTAAATTACCATTTGTTTCAGATATGGATACAAATGTAAGTTTTACTGCAATTGATGTAAAACCTTATGAAGGAAAAATTGAGTTACCAAATAAATCTAAGAAAGTAACAAAAGATGAATTTGAGAAAGAAATGGAGAAAAGTTCTTTTAAATTTAATGGAATTAGAAGTACAGGAGTAGAAAAGGGAATTAAAAAAGATATTATTTTTTTTTGAAAAATATTCATCTAAAGAAATTATCATTACAGATTTTAAATCAAATTAAAAACTTTAAAATAATCTTTAAACTTAATTAAATTTAGTTTGGAGAATTGAAAAACCCTAACAATTTGCACAACAATTAAGGGAAAGCCCATGTGTAACGGTAGCACATCGGTTTTTGGGCGCTAGTTGGGGTTCGAATCCCGTGGGTCTAAGCAGAAATGTAATTTTTATTACTTTCTGCTTTTTTTATTTTTTAAACATTTATAAAAACAATAAAGCAGCCTATAAAAATAGTACTGCCTAATTGAAGTTCAAATCTTTATATTAACAAAAAATATTTATGATAAGAGGTTAATTAATACCTCCGCCTACAGCTCTATATAAATCAACCCTCAGCATTTAATTTTTCTAACGATACAGTTCACCCATTCCTAAAATCAGTCTGAAGTTTATATTTGTTGCTGTAATACTTCAAGATAAGTAGCCATACCATTTTTATATAGTTTTACAGCATCATTTATTCCTTTATCAAGGATATTGGTTTTTTGTTGTAGTAAATCTATTCTTTCTGAAGTTCCTTTTTGCTTTGCTAATGCATCAGAAACTTCATTTACAGCATTCAACATTGTTTGTTTGTAATTTATAACTGTTTTTTCTTGTTCAATGACCGCAGTTTCATATGCTGTTTTAAATTGTCTTTTCTGTAAGATAGGAGCAGCTAAATTTGCTGCAATAGTTTTTGTAAGAGATCCAGGTAAATCAAACCATTGATTAATTTTATAAGAATTAGCTCCTATTTGTGGAGTAAGACTTAAACTAGGATACATTGCAACTTTAGCTAAATTTGTTTTAGAATTTAGACTTATTAAAGTGTATTCTACAGCTTTTAAATCCGGTCTTCTACTTAAAAGTTGAGCCGGAACACCTTCAGAAAGTTTATTATCAGTGAACATCTGTTTTAAAGAATTACTACGTTCAATTTTTTGAGGGTATTCACCACATAAAATACTCAAAGCATTTTCTTGTATAGATATGTTTTGATTTGCTAAAGGAATTAATAATTCAGCTGTTTTCTTTTGAGCTTCTGATTGTTGTATTGCCAAAGAATTAATTTGTCCAGCTTTATATTGTAGGTTCATCATCTTTAAAGTTGAGGACTCAATTCAATATTTTGTTCAGCTATTTTAAGCTGTTCATCTAAACTTATTAAATTATAATAAGCTTGAGCTACTTGAACAATAATTCTACTTTTTAGTGCATTTAAATTTTCTTTTTGTGAAAAATAATCAGCTTTGGCTGCTTGTTTTTGTAATTTAGTTTTACCCCAAATATCTGCTTCCCATGATAATTTTAATACAGCACTATAATCATCAATATATTTTGTGCCTGTAAATTGTTCTGATAAAGAGCCATTAAGACTATTTTTTGAAACCCAATTTCTATTTGCTCCCGCACTAAAATCAACTGTAGGCATAATATTATTTTTGGCTTGTTTATAAACCAAATCTAATTGCTCAATATTTTTTAATGCAGTATTAATTTCATTATTTTTTTCTAGAGATTTTTCTATTAATGATATTAATGTAGGATCTTTAAAAAATGTTTTCCAAGGTAAAACAATATAATCTCCAGTAACTTGTATCTGTTCCCTCATTTTCAGGAATATAAGTTTCGGGATTTTTATATTCACTTCTTGTGCGCAGGACATTCATTGCTGAGACACTGCGGCTAAAAAAGAAGCAATTTTTTATATTAAATATTTTCATTTTGGTAATTCGTGAATAGTGGATTTTTTTAAAAGAAATTTTTCATCTAAATAATTTGAAAATAGAATATAAAGTAGGAATTATGAATATTCCTAATAGTACACCACTTAACATTCCCATAGCTGCACTAACACTTATTGATTTATTTCCTGAAGCTATTCCTCCAGCAGATAACATAAGAGGAATCATACCAACGATAAATGCTAATGAGGTCATGATAATAGGTCTTAACCTAGCTTTGGCACCTTCAATTGCAGAATCTAAAATTGATAAACCACTTTTTCTTTTTTGAATAGCAAATTCAACAATTAAGATAGCATTTTTGGCGAGTAACCCAACCAGCATAATAAGTCCTACTTGTACATAAATATTATTATCAAATCCAATTGCTTTTATTCCTAAAAATGCACCAATTACTCCTGTAGGTATAGATAGCATTACAGCTAATGGTAAAACATAACTTTCGTATTGAGCTGATAATAGTAGATAAACGAATAATAAACATAATCCAAATAGCTCGGTTTTGATTTTAACTGATGAATTTTTCTTTCTAAACTAAGTCCAGTCCATTCGTAACTATAGTCAGAAGGTAAAGTATCAAGAGTTTTTTCTAATTTCGTGATTAATTCTCCATTACTTACTCCACTTTTTGGAGTAACATTTATCGTTAGAGAATTGTAGAGATTATATCTTCCAACAGATTCAGGTCCATATACTTTTTTAAGATTAATAAGTGTTGTAACAGGAACCATATCTCCATTGTTATTTTTTACGAAAATATCATTAAAAGCCTCTTGATCCATTCTAAAAACTCCATCAGCTTTAATATTCACTCGATAAAATTTTCCAAATCGAGAGAAATTTTGAGATTGATCACCAGAAAAATAAGTTTGAATAGTTCCTAATAAATTAGAAACACTTACACCTAACTGTTTTGCCTTATCTTCATCAACTTCAAGTTCTAATTGTGGATAATCTGCTCTAAACATTGTATAAGCAAAAGCAACTTCAGGATTCTGCATAATTTGCCCAATAAGTTGATCTGCCTTTGCTTTTAAAACTTGAGGGTCTCTTCCCATTCTATCTTGAAGAATTATTTCTGCATCATTAGTCATTCCGTATCCTTCTACAGGAGGCATTCTAAATGTCATAATACTTCCTTCTTTTATTGTAGATAGTTTTTCGTTGACTAAACTAACAATTTCATCTATGTTATTAATTTTACCTCTTTCTTTTTTAGGTTTTAATTTTACGAATCCCATTGCATAAGCAGGAACCAGCACTATTATTTAAAAGATTAAACCCTGTAATAGAGGTATTTTCATGTACAGCATCAATTTCTTTAATGATTTTATTAATTTTATTCGAAACTTCTGTCGTTTTATCTAATCCTGTTCCTGGAGGCATACTTAAAGAATACATAAATAAACTATCGTCTTCCATTGGTACAAAACTTTTTGGAGTTGTATTCATTAACCAAACTGAAAAACCTATAATACCGAGAATTAAACCACTAGAAATCAGTTTATGGTTAATTAAAAATTTTAAACCACCTAAATAGCGATTCGTCATATTATTGAAACCAATGTTAAATGCATTAGCAAACTTTTTTCCAAATCCTTTTTTTTGTTCGTGAGAATCTCCTGTATGATTGTTTTTTAATAAAACAGCACATAGAGCAGGAGTTAATGTTAATGCATTAACAGCCGATATGATAATGGCAATAGCTAATGTGTAAGCGAATTGTTTATAAAAAAGTCCCGCAGAGCCTTCCATAAAACCAATTGGAATAAATACTGCAGACATTACTAATGTTATGGAAATAACGGCACCAGTAATTTCTCTCATTGATTTATGAGTTGCTTCTTTACCTGTAAGATTCGTACCTTCCATATTACTATGTACAGATTCTACAACAACAATAGCATCATCTACGACAATACCAATAGCAAGTACTAAGGCGAAAAGAGTTAATACATTTATTGTAAATCCGAATACAAGTAAAAAGAAAAACGTACCTATAATTGCAACAGGAACTGCAATTGCAGGGATAATAGTTGATCTGAAATCTTGTAAAAAGATGAAAACAACGATGAAAACAAGAATAAATGCTTCTATTAATGTCGACTTTACTTGACTTGTAGCTTCGTCTAATTTTTCTTTAGTACTAACAACTTTTGAATATTTCACACCAGGAGGAAAAGATTTTGAGAGTTGTTCAATAGATTTATCAATTCCAATTTCTATATCATTAGCATTAGATCCCGTTGTTTGCATAATTGCTACAGTAACAGCATTTTTACCATTTGATAAATTGTCTCCACTATATGAAATTGCTCCAAATTCTACTCTTGCAACATCTTTTAATCGAACGATATTTGTACCATCGTTTTTGACAACAATATTTTCATATTGTTCTGGAATATTTTTTTTCCCCTTATAACGGATAACATATTCTAAAGCTGCTTTAGATTCTTCTCCTAATTTACCTGGGGCAGATTCTAAACTTTGATCTGCTATTGCATTTGAAACATCAGCAGGAACTAAACCATAAGAAGACATTCTTTGAGGATTTAGCCAAATTCGCATCGAATAATCTTTTGTACCAAAAACTTGAGCTTGACCAACTCCTTTTACTCGTTTTACCTGTGGAATAAGATTAATGTTAGCATAGTTTTGTAAAAACTTTTCATCATATCTACTGTTATCATCAGTATATAGATTAAAAAGCATTACCATACTATTTTGTTGTTTGGAAGTTGTAAGTCCCATTCTTATAACTTCCTGAGGTAAAATAGGTGTAGCTTGTTGCACTCTATTTTGTACGTTTACTGCAGCTTGATCGGCATTAACAACCTTGCTTGAATAGAATCGAAATAGAGAATGTTCCATCATTACTTGCATTCGATTTTATGTATTGCATATCTTCAACTCCGTTAATTTGTTCTTCTAATGGAGTTACTACAGAGCGTATTACTGTTTCACTATTTCCTCCAGGATATGATCCATTAACAGTAATAGTTGGAGGAGAGATATCAGGAAAACGTGTTACTGGTAATCTATCTAGCCCTATAACTCCTAAAATTACAATAATTAAAGAAATAACTGTAGCAAGAACAGGACGATCTATTATTTTTTTTAACATCTTATTTTTTCTAAAAATTATTTATTATTAGGAGCAACTAAGCGTTATCTGTAAGTTCATCTAATCTGTTTATAGCTATTTTATCGCCAGCTTTAACTCCTATTTACAAAATAGAATTCAGTGTTACCTCCAGATATATCAATTGTAACATTTTAACTTTGTTATTTTTATCTAGTTCTATAAATGAATAATTTATCCTGTATATCTTTACAGCGTTTAAGGTACTTAATCACATTATCCACTTGTGATGAAGAAAAAACTTTTTGCTGTTCCTCTGATCGTAATAAATTATTTGGATTAGAGAATACAGCCTTTAATTGAATATCCTGTGGTTTTATCAAAATACCACTGCACTTTCTAATTTACCCTTGGTTATCATAAGTAGAACCATCAGCAATAAAATTCAATAGTATAGTAATATTGTTCGAAGGTTGATCAAACGAATATAAGAGAAAAATTGAGCTTATTCATAGAAAAATATACATTACAGTATTGATATTTGATAAAGAGTGAGTGCATTGGATCCTAGCTCCAACTAAATTTCCAATTCTGTTAGGAATACGTCTATGTAACACTTATAGGAGCTTTTATTACGTAAAATCAGAAATTAATTTTGATGTCCTAAGGCTGCCTTTTGCTTGAGCAACTTGTGCTAATGCCCTTGATAATTTGCTTCAGCAGTTTTTAATTGAACATCAGAAACAACATTTCCCTCTACCAAAGGTTTTAGTTTTTCAACCTCTAATTTTGTGTTTGCTAAGTTTGCTAATGCTACTTTAAGAGATGCATCACTATTCTTTACCTGTTCTTCATAAATAGTAGGTGTTATTCTGAATAAAGTTTGTCCTTGAGTAACATATTGACCTTCTTTTATATATACTTTTTCTAGATAACCATTTACTTGTGCTTTAATTTCTACATTATCTTGACCTTCTATACTTCCAGGATAAGCTGTAGGAATATCTACGTTTTCTAATTTTAGTTGAATAAAGTCAGTAGGTAATGCTGATACTTGAGATATATTTTCTTGTTCATTTTTGGATGTACAAGAAAATAATGATGTAGTTATAGAAAAAGATACTATCAAATATCCTACTTTGTAGTTCATAATATTTTTATTTAATTATGTACAAAGTAAATTAGAGAAGTGAGCTTTTTAATTAAGAAATGGAGTGAAACGGAAATTTTTGAAGTTAAAACGTAAAATGAGAGGAATGAAAATTACTAAAATTATAACATAAAAGAGAATATTTTTTATTATAAAAATTCATTCATAAACCTATGATTTGTTTTTAATGACCCGCAGATTTAGAAAAAACATTGATTATTATTACACCTATAACAATTAATAGAATACCTAAAATAGCAGGTAAGTCGAGTTTTTCTTTATAAACAAAATATCCTACACAAGAAATAATTACAATTCCTACTGCAGACCATATTGCATAAGCTATACCAATAGGAATTACTTTAATTGCTAAAGTTAAAAAGTAAAATGAAGATGACATAGCAATAACAAAAATAATGGTTTGTAATGGTTTTGTGAATCCATTTGAAAAGCTTTCAAAAAAAGAAGTAGCAAATAGAATTCACAAATAATAGCGCAAGCTAAAAAAAGATAATTTTTCATGATTAATTATTTTTTAATAATCCATCCAGGATTTAAAAGAAGATGCTTTTTCTCTACTTATTAATATTTCTACTTCTGGATGTTTTTTTAATTCAAGTTTTAATTTTCCATTAAAATGATTAAAAACATTTTTAACAGAATTAATATTTATAATAAATTGTCTATTAGCTCTAAAAAATAATTTTGGATCTAATTGTTTTTCTAATTCTTCTAACGTTTGAGAAATAATTTCCGCTTTATCATTTGTTAAAAAAGCTTTATTAATCCCTAATTCTGTTTGAAAAAACAATATATCTTCTGTTAAAAGGGTTGTATATCCGTCTTTTTTTGCTAAAAGAAATCGTTTCCTATAATCTTTAGGCTGTATGTAATTCAATAGCCCCTCGAAAGTAGCTCCTAAAATAGGAATGGTTTCAATAAAACTTTCATATTTTTTTAATGCAAATTCTAATTCTTCTTCTTCAATTGGTTTTAGTAAATAATCAATACTATTGTATTTAAATGCTTTTACAGCATATTCATCATAAGCAGTTGTAAATATTACAGGGCTTTTTATTTCGTATTTGTTGAAGATTTCGAAACTTAAACCATCAGAAAGACGAATATCCATCATTATTAAATCAGGTGAAATATTTTTATTTAACCATTCTACAGTTGATGAAATAGAATCTTCTACACTTAAAATCTCAATATTTGGTCTCAAATGAAGTAATATTCTTTTCAATCGATCTGCATTTGGTTTCTCATCTTCTACAATAAGAATATTATTTATTTTCATAGAGAGGAATTTTTGCAATAAATTCTGTAGTTGTTTTGTTTATTATTGGCAATCTTTCACCAAGAAATTCAAATCTATTTATAATGTTTTGAATTCCAATGCCAGGTGATTCATTCTTATTTATAAGAGGAATTAAAATATTACTTACTACAAGATATTTATCTTCAGTCGTATATATATTTATTTTTAAAGGATTTAATTTTGAAGTTTGATTATGTTTTAAAGCATTTTCAACTAAAAATTGTAGTGCTAAAGGAGGAATAAGATATTCTTTAAATTTTTCATGAATAGTAATTTCAAAATTAACACCTTCACCAATTCTTTTAGTTGTAAGGTAGATGTAAGAATGCAAGAATTTTAATTCTTCCTTTAATGTTATGACATCTTTTTTTGAGTTAACAAGCAGATAACGATATACTTTTGCAAAACTTTCAGAATATTCATAACCCAGTTGTTGATCTTCTAAAATTAATTCTGATAAAACACTTAGATTATTAAAAATAAAATGAGGATCAATTTGTAATTTTAATGCTTGTAATTCAGCAGACATAGCTGCTCGTTTATGTTCAGAAGCTTTTAGTTTATGTTCACTAACTTGTATTACTGTTTCTTTCCAACTTTTTAAAAGAAAATCAATTGTATTAAAAGTACTAATCAATAAAGCAATTACAATATTTGTAGCAATCCATTGTCCAAGTAAAGAATATTCTTTTCGAACATCTAATTTTGGTAAGTCATGACAGATATCTTCGAAAAATGAATTAATTATTAGTACAATTAATATACTTCCTATAATTTGAAGTGTACATTGTATTAATAAATGTTTTATAGTTCTGTTATCCCAAGGAAGGTATTTATTTAAAAAATGATCAATATAAATACTGACTTCAGAGATTATAATTGAAAAAAATAATCCCCAAAGAAATTCATTAAAGACATTTTTAAAGGGCATCTTTAAATAATCTGACCAAATAGGATCAAGAGGATCCATCAAATAAACAAAAACATAAAAAGTAATAATAGCAACAGTCCATATTATCAATCTTTTTTTAGCAAAGCTTGTAAATTTATTTTCTGATGATAATATTGTATTGTATGTATTCATTATAATTTAATAGGTGAGAATTATTAATGTAAATATAGAAATTGATTTATGAATAATTGTTTCATTTTATATTGAGCCTGCAAAAAATAAGCTTGAAGTGTCATATTTTATTTTTGAAATGATTTTAATAAATAGTCTTTTTTTAAAATATTTAAATTATTTAACTTTATTTTAAGCTAATATGTTTTGTTTTATTTTTCCTTCTTTTTAGTTATTTTGTTGACTGAATGAAAAAGAATTTTAGAAAATATTTGTTTATTTTATCACTCGTGATGCTTGCCATAGTAAATTGGCATCTCGAGATTTCACATTTTAAGAATGTGAACGAATAATCTTACGCAAAGAAGTTTTTCTAAATTTCAAGGTTTTTTCGATTCTAGTACTTCGACGTTTCAATTACAAATATCTTTACAAACTGTAAAACTAATACCCATACTCAATATAAGAATTCTTATATTGATCGTCATCACTCTAATACTGAATTTTTAGAGAATGAAACTGAAATAGAAGATTCTAACATCCTTCCAAGAAGAGATGTGGATATTTTCTCAAAACAAATGTATGGAAAGTAATTGTTTGCATTTTTGAATGACTTTTATAGTCAACAAAGTGCAGTTTTTCTTACACACAATCTTTCTATCAACAAATCAACTGATGGTCTATACATAGAGTATAGAGTTTTCAGAATATGATTTAAACAACTTTTATTTCAGTAAAAAGTTTACAGTGTTCGTAAAGTTACGATCACCAAAAAATTATTTTCAAAAAAAATTATCATTAAAAACTATTGTTAAATAATTATCACTATGGTTAAGAAAAGCCTTATGGTCGTAAGTGTTTGTGCTTCATTATTTTTTGTAAGTTGCAACTCTGGTAAAGAAAAAAAAGAAGCTCCAGTGGAGTTTAAAGTTACAAGTCCTTTAGTACAGGATACTTTGATTGATAAAAACTATGTAGCTCAAATTCGTTCAATCAATCATATTGAATTGAGAGCTCAGGAACGTGGTTACATTCAGAACATTTATGTAGATGAAGGTCAATTTGTAAAAAAAGGACAATTATTATTTAAAATAATGCCTAATTTATATCAAGCAGATGTAAATAAAACAAAAGCAGAAGCTAGATATGCAGAAATAGAATATAATAATACAAAAAGTTTATCTGAAAAGGATATCGTTGCTCCTCAAGAAATGGCAATGGCTAAAGCTAAATTAGAAAAAGCAAGAGCTGAGGTTTCAGAATCAAGTACACATCTTCAATTCACTGATGTTAGAGCTCCTTTTGATGGAATTGTAGGTAGATTTCATGTAAGAAAAGGAAGTTTAGTAGATGATGGAGACTTATTAACAGAATTATCAGATAACAGTAAAATGTGGGTTTACTTCAATGTTCCAGAAGCAGAGTATTTAAACCAAATGAATCATAAAAGTGATGATGGTTTCTTACATGTAAAACTTCAGCTAGCGAATGGAGAAATGTACAAAAGAGATGGTATTGTTGAAACAATTGAATCAGATTTCAATAATGAAACTGGTAATATTGCATACAGAGCAACTTTCTTGAATCCAGAAAAACTTTTACGTTATGGAGAAACAGGAAATATTGTTATTACAACTCCATACCCACACGCAATTATGATTCCTCAAAAAGCTACATTCGAAGAATTAGATAAAAAATATGTTTATGTTATTACTAAAGATAACGTAGTAAAATCAAGAGAAGTTACAGTTGCTGCTGAATTACCTCACATATATATAATTTCTAAAGGATTAGCACAAGGAGATAGAATTTTATTAGAAGGGTTGAGAATGGTTCAAGAGAATCAAAAAATATCTTCTAAATTCTTAGATCCTAAAAAAGTAATGTCTGATTTAGAATTATATTCTGAATAAAACCGATTAATATGTTTAAAAAAATAATACATCGACCGGTTTTTGCGATTGTAATATCGGTCATTATAGTCTTCGTTGGTTTACTTGCTATTGAGCAGTTACCAACCGAACAGTTTCCTCAAATTGCTCCAACAACAGTATCTGTGTCTATTGCATATCCTGGAGCGAGTTCTGAGGTATTAGTAAAATCATCTTTGATTACCATAGAAAATGCCATTAATGGTGTACAAGGAATGAGATATATGACAACAGATGCTACCAGTGCTGGGGAAGCAACTTTGAGTGTAATCTTTGATCCAGGTACCGACTCCAATATGGCAACCGTTTTGGTTAAAACCAGAGTGGATCAGGTAATGTCATTACTACCTGAGCTTGTACAAAAAGAAGGGGTTATTGTACAACCTGTACAGCCAAGTATGTTAATGTACGTTAACCTTTACAGTACAAATAAAAGTATGGATGAAAAATTCCTTTACAATTATGCTACTGTAAATGTTATACCAGAGGTTAACCGTATTCCTGGTATCGCAAGATCTCAAATTTTAGGGATGAGAAGATATGCAATGCGTATTTGGTTAAACCCTGAAAGAATGAGAGCTTATGATATTTCGGTTGAAGAAGTAACTAAAGCGGTAGGAGAGCAAAGTATCATTGGACGACCTGGTCGTTTAGGACAAAGTTCTGGTATTGCTGCTCAATCATTAGAATATGTACTTACTTACAAAGGTCAATATACAACTCCTGAAGAATATGGTAATATTATCATAAGAGCAAACGCTCAAGGTGAAAACCTAAAACTAAAAGATATTGCAAAAGTTGAATTAGGAAGTGAATTCTTCGATATTTATTCAAACTTAGATGGTCACCCATCAGCATCAATTGTAATGAAACAAAAAATTATGGAAGTAATGCGAGTGATGTAATTAAAGGAATTAAGGAGAAAATGGAGGAACTTAAAAAAGATTTCCCTCCAGGAGTTGATTATAAATTAGTTATGACCGTTTCTAAATTCTTAGATGCTTCCTGTAGAACAAGTAGTTCATACATTAAGAGATGCATTTATATTAGTTGCAATAGTTGTATTTATTTTCTTAGGGGATTGGCGTTCTACATTAATTCCTATTATAGCTGTACCAGTTTCATTAATTGGAGCTTTCTTCATTATGAAAGCATGTGGTCTAACAATAAATCTTGTAACACTATTTGCCCTCGTACTTGCAATTGGTATTGTTGTCGATGACGCGATTGTTGTTGTGGAAGCTGTACACGCCAAGATGGAGGAGAAGAATTTATCTCCATTTAAAGCTGTACAAGAAGTAATGGGAGAAATTTCTGGTGCGATTATAGCAATTACAGCAGTAATGGTATCTGTATTTTTACCAATATCATTCATGTCAGGACCAGTTGGTACATTCTTTAGACAGTTTTCTATTACAATGGCTAGTTCTATTGTTATTTCTGCACTTATTGCACTTACATTAACACCAGTATTGTGTGCAATGTTGTTGAAGAACAATCATGGTAAACCAAAGAAAGTTACTTTGTTCACAAGATTTATGGATAGCTTCAATAGAGGTTTTGATAAATTAACAGGTGTTTATGCATCTTTATTACGTAAAATTGTTAACAGAAGATTTGTAACTTGGACTGTACTTCTTATTTTCTGTGCTGGTATATTTTATGTGAGTAAAGTATTACCAGGAGGTTTCATTCCTACAGAGGATCAAGGAACAATTTATGCAATTATCCAAACACCTCCAGGTTCAACATTAGAACAAACAAATAAAGTATCTAGAGCTTTACAGGGAATAGCAGAAAAAATAGAAGGAGTAGAAACAGTTTCTTCATTAGCTGGTTACGAGATTATGACAGAAGGTAGGGGATCAAATGCTGGTACGTGTTTGATTAACTTAAAGCCTTGGGATGAAAGAACTCATGATGTAAAACAGGTGATGGAAGAATTAGAAGAAAATCTAAAGGATTAGGAGCTACAATAGAATCCTTTGAGCCACCAGCAGTTCCTGGTTTTGGTTCATCAGGAGGTTCTCTATGCGTTTATTAGATATGATAAGAAACGATTTCAGGATTTGATAAATTAATAAAAATTTCATGCTGAATTAAAGAAACGTAAAGAACTAACTGGTGTATTTACATTCTTTGCAGCTAACTATCCACAGTATGAATTAGTTTTTGATAACGCAGCAGCAATGCAGAAAGGGGTGTCAATCGGTAAAGCGATGGATAACTTAAATATCTTAATAGGTAGTACATATGATCAAGGTTTTATCCGTTTTGGACAATTTTTTAAAGTGTACGTTCAAGCATCACCAGAATTTAGAAAATTACCAACTGATGTTATGAAGCTTTATGTGAAAAATGACCGTGATGAAATGGTACCTTATTCATCATTCATGACAATGAAGAAGAAACAAGGTCCTAATGAGATTACACGTTATAACATGTACAATTCTGCTGCAATTAGAGGTTTACCAGCTGATGGGTATACAACAGCTGATGCAATTAAAGCAATAAACGAAACAGCAGCAGCAACTTTACCTCATGGTTATAAAGTAGCTTGGGAAGGTTTATCGTATGATGAGTCGAGAAGAGGAAATGAAGCAATTTATATTTTCATTGTAGTATTAGTATTCGTTTATTTAGTATTAGCTGCACAATATGAGAGTTTCATTATGCCATTAGCTGTAATTACATCTTTACCAGTAGGTATATTTGGTTCATTCTTCCTATTGAAAGCAATGGGATTAGAAAATGATATTTATGCTCAGGTAGGACTTATTATGCTTGTTGGTTTATTAGGTAAAAATGCCGTACTGATTGTAGAGTTTGCTGTACAAAGAAGACAAGAAGGCTTGTCTATTTTTGAAGCAGCTATTGAAGGAGCTCAAGTTCGTTTCCGTCCTATCTTAATGACATCATTTGCATTTGTAGCAGGTATGATACCATTAGTTTTAGCACATGGAGCAGGTGCAATTGGTAACCATACAATTGGTGCTTCTGCAATGGGAGGTATGATTTTCGGTACAGTATTCGGTATTATAATCATTCCTGGATTGTACTACATATTTGCTAAATGGGCAGATGGTAGAAAAATGTTACAAGATGGTAGCGACCAACATGAAGAGGAAGAATCACCACTAAGCGAAGACATTATTCATTATGATTAAAAACAAATTACATTTGTATGCAGGCGCAGCCTGCATACTAATTGCTCTAGGAGCATGTAAATCAATAGATATACCTCAAAAAGAGGAGAATAAAAATGTGCCAGAATCTTATGGAACTGACACAGCAAATGATAGTATTAATACAGCTAAGCTAACTTGGGATCATTTTTTTACCGATCCTAACTTACAATCTTTAATACAAACAGCATTACAAAATAATCAGGAATTAAATATCACTTTACAAGAAGTAGAAATTTCTAAAAATGAAATTCGTGCAAAAAAAGGTGAATATTTACCTTCTTTAGGTGTAAAAGCTGGAGTAGGAATGGATAAAGTTAGCCGATATACAAATATCGGAGCAATGGAAGCTACTACAGATATAAAGCCAGGGAAAGAAATGCCAGATCCTCTTTTTGATATGGGAGTTGGAGCGTATGCAAATTGGGAAACTGATATCTGGGGTAAGT